TTAAAACTATAGGCATGGACAGCTAATCACAAAAAACATTCTGTCAAAAAATAGATCAGAAGAGCTCTCTTTTTTGGTTTTGAATTCGTTAAAAGCGTAGGTTCTTAGTAGGATTACTTCAGTTAATGAAACACATTGTTTTCCAAGATTACAGTCGTGTGTAATTGTACTCGTGGGAATGACGAATAATCGTTTGTTACTCTCTAACCCCACTCTATTTGAAACAGTTTTCTTTTGAATTTATTACCTTTTAACATGAATTGTTATCAATTAAAATGCTTCAGCGTGCGAAATAATCCAACCTAAGATCACCGAATGTGATTCCGAAAAAAGGTGTTTGCAATGTCTGAACAGAATAAAATACTGCATTAAAAAACCAGCCAAGTGATAGTCGGACTCACACATGAAGGGTTCCGTACCATAACCAATAAAAAATTAAGTTTGTTGCCATATTAACATTATTTTGTGTTAAGTTGTTGTTTTGGCGGCAACAGAAATATACGAGTATAATCTGTGAAAATTTGAACGGTCTTGAGAGACAGCCTGGCGACAGACAGACGGATAGAAGAGACTTAGTGATAGGACCTTTTTTACCCTTTGTGTACGGAATCCTTAATAAAATTCCTTAAACGCTCTATGTTCAAAGCAACAGTACTAAATCCCTAAATGGATGTGAGAGCAAAATAATTTTTCTGTTACGATAAAACGGTTCGTAGTTCCTTTCAATTACCTAAATCTAGAAAATCCATTCCAAATCCTTTTATAAATCGTCTTGTTACCTTGTTTTTGGTACATGTGTTTGTATTGGTACACAGCGGTATACCGTGTTACTGCAAAAAGTAACATTTTATAATAATTGAAATTAATAGATTTTGGAGTGTCATTCTTCTGTCTTCACTTGACTTGCTGTTGACTCTCAACATAAAATATTGAATTTATCATATTATATATCTTCTAAAATACATATTAAATTAAAACTACTTATCTAAACTTAAAATAATAACTAAACTAAATTAAAAATGTCTCCCAGATCATTGCCTACAGGTAAGGTACCCAGAAGGCTGCGAGCGTTACCTCTTTGAATAGCTAAACTAATTCTTTGGGCGAGGTACAAACCAGCCTTCTGATCACCTGACCTGTCAAAAAGTTTCTTTTTTAACTCTTGATAAAGACGATGGGCTCCAGGGCCCCACGGACCCATCGTTTCGACCCCAAACGGCTCAAATATGTAGGTATTACTTATACCTGAATATTTTCGCCGTTTGAGGCTTTCTGCAGCAGCGGCGGCTACACCCGCCTCAAGACATGTTCATGGAAGATGAGTTGGCGCCAAAGTATCAACGCAGGTGGCATCCCATACTAGGGGTCGACCCATCCTCCAAGGTACCAAAGACATCCCATCAGGTCTCTTACCGTCGTCGCGCGTCAGCCCGTTCGGTTCTAGAATGGCTGGCACTGACGCCGTAGCAAGAGCTCGATGGATAATATCATTGATACTTGCATGTCGAGAGATACGACCGGCACTTCTGCTACAAGATAAGCCGTGATGACCTAAAGAGTCCACCGTTTCACCGCAAGGGCAAAGATGGGGGAGATTACAGGTTGCCCCCAGGCGAAGACAAACTGAAAGGCGAAAAGTTGTATTATCTAGAAGTGTCCCAACAGTCGATGACGGCAATACTTGTAACCAAAGACCGGATTCCCACTCAGCGACAGCTAAGAGACGAGCATGCTCTGCAGAATTGGCAGACGTGTTTAATAGATTATTCCGTACCAATTTACAGAGCGGCTCGTCCCAATGTTTTTGAGCTGTCATTACTGTTGGAAAATCACTTCCAGATAATATCTCCCAAGCAGTTTTTGCCTCGGCCATATTGGAGATAGCAGCAGCTGAAGATGTTTTAGACAATATTTTTTTATTCAGGTCATAGGTGCTATGGACCGAAGATAAAAATGCTGGAAGGGCAACACTAGAAATTTTGCGTAAACCTAAACCTCCGAAGCGTATAGGAAGAGAAGCCTGGTCCCAAATTTTGTCACTAATATCGATATTAAGTATAGTGGAAACAATTTCTTTTATTGCTTTGTCCATTGAAAGTGTAAGGTTTGTGTGTTTCCAAAAAGGTGCTGAACGTAAAACATAGGTAAATTGAGGAACAAACAGACAATAACGCATAATTGTGAAAGCCATTTGATTATTAATTTTTAGTAAACGATCAGCAACTGACTGAAATTTTATTACTTTTTGTTCAGTGAACTGATTGAAATATTCATCACAAATTGGAGACCCTAAAAGTGAAAGTGACTGTTTACATATAATTTTTATGCCCGGAGCTAGAGCATTAAATTTGGAAATTATGGATTTTTTTTTCATTGACTGTACTAGGAATATAGAGCTCGCATTTACTAAAATTTAACTCTAGGCCACAATTTTCTAAATTTTCGATTAGATATTTTAGATCTGAAAAAACTGATTCGGCTTCTCCTCCTAACGTACCATCATCCAGATACCACACATTGAATTTAGAATTTAGATTTGAAATAATTGGATGAATAGCTAAACCAAAAAGTGCCGGCCCGAGTGGGTCACCTTGTTGACATCCTACGGAAGAGGACAAAAGGTGGTTTTTATAAATCAATTTCGAAGGTGATCTATAGCATTGCCATAAGAAATTGTATATAGATGGTGTTTTGTCTTTTATTTGTGTCAACAGGGTGGACCTATCTACCGAGTTGAAAGCATTTTTACATCTACCTTCAAGACAAGATCTTTTGGTTGAATATCTAAGAATGTTCTAAGAGAATGTATTGCCGCTTAACAATCACATTTTATTCCAAACCCTAGCTGTAAAGGGTCGAAGTAGTTGCTAAGCGTGCTACGAATTGACTTACAACATATTTTAGCAGCAAGACGGCGAAAAATTGAACCTACCGCGATTGGTCGGATACCACCATCTTTTTTCTTAAGAGCGCAAAGATTCGCACCATAGAGAATATCTACAATCGCGGTATGAACGTTACCTGAGAGCATTAAATTTATAAGTTTAGTTAATTCCTTTAAGAGGCTTTCACCAGCTTCACCATTGTTACCACTTAAGAGATCTTTTAGGTGTTGAGGCGTCAGACCATCTAGTCCACCGGCAGAACCACCTCTAAAGGAATTGACTGCATCCAAAACATCGCGTGATTCTGTCTGTAAAAAAGCATCAGAAGAAATAGGAGGGTCTGGAAATGTAGAATTTGGTCTTGATGGAGGATGTTTGCTTTCAAGGGCTATAAGAGTTTCTGGAATATCTGGTGCGACAATGTCATCGGAAAATAATAGTCGAGATGCGCCTTTGATATCACCTTCACTTATTTTGGTTTCTACGTAATGAAATAACGATTTAGGTTTGTTTCTATTGGGGTAATTTGACGGAAAGTGTATATTTGTCTTCTGACAATTTTCTTTGATAATAGCTGTTAGCGATTTTGGGTTGTTAGTATGATCTGGACAAGCGTGAAGACTTTTGTAAGCAAAGGTGAATAGATGTTCCCAGGCTTCAGGAGTATTTTTCAAATTGACTTTTTTAATTGTTTTTGTCAATTCCTCGGCAACAGCAATACGTGCTCCTCGAGGAATTCTCCTTATGATGGGAATCGAGGACTTCAATTTTGAAATTATTTGCCAAAAAGGTTGTGATAATGTATCAATATCATATGTTTGCCGGATCGGATTATGTGATGATTGATTGTTTGGCTGTGCTAATTCTTTGTGAGACCGTGATAAATGTATTTTCAGACCTCTGGCCCCTTTGAAGTAGCGAGCTTGAGAACATCGTGGGCATTGAACTAAATTTTCCGATGAAATATCAGATACTAGATTACCTTGGTGACCAAAAACTGAATTGCCTGGGGTATTGCCTGCATTGTCTTGACTTAGAGACATATAAAAAAAATCAACAACAACAACTTATATAAAAACACAAACTTAAAACAACACTGTAAAAATCACACTTTGTAAAATTTGTTTATATTGTTTGTTTACAAAAATGACACGTGAGTGAGGGCGAATCAGTTTGTATTGCCGATGGAAAACACCAATCGGGGAGCATCTTTTTGACATTTTGTCTGACATTGGGCTGTTGTCTAGGTGACTGGCATGGCAGTCATCGGTCACAAATGATATGTCTTATTTAGACTCGATACTATCACAAATTTCCAATTATTGTAGTTTATTTGCTTTTTCTGAAAATATGCGCTGAGCGGCGGCGGTTAAAGTTGAACTATTGCACATTAGTTTCTGTTGCCATAATATCGAAATTTCAATTTTTATCAATTTATTGTGGGGAAATTTGACTGTTTTGTATCGCTGACATATATATTTTTTTTAAATATATTTTTTTTAACTCTCAACATTATATGTATTATTTATTTAAATATCAGTACCAATTTGGAGTCTTCAAAATGTCCTATTTATCTATTTATTGTAACTTACTGGTGCGAAAATTAACTTACTTATTTAGTATTTGTTGAATAAGTAAACTATGATAATGTAGCAAATTCAGATAAGTGAAATTTCAATTGCGTGTATGAAATTTTAATATTTTTAATTACAAATGTATAGTTTACAGATTTTTTCATTGAACGTTTATTGTTAAACATGGTCTAAGTGAAATAAACGGGCAAATCTTTTTTTTACCTTAATTAAGAAGTTTTATTTATTCATAGCTTCAAGAGACTGTGGACCTAAAGAAATAGTTTTAATTTCAACTCGATATCACGTTTCCAAAATAGCGATTCTAAGGGGATTCGTGTTTTCCTTTTTAAGTACGAAACCCTTAACCTCAAATCTTTTGGATTGCTCAAATAACTTAAGCTCAGCGGTAATTTACGTAGGTCAGAACATTGGGAACCAATGTCGTTAATTAACGGATGCCACGATAACGTGCACGTAAAAGAAAACATTCAGTACATAGTACATTCATTTCAATACTATTAAAACCACGTAATTAACTCGATTATGGAATTATCAGGCGAGCGAAAACAAAGCAATCAGGACCGTATAGAGACTATAAACCACATTACATTTATACGGTCCCCAAAAAAAACCATACGCAATTACTTTTTTGTAACGTTCATTTCCGAATACTTATGTAACTGATTTTCTGAAAGAGGATTTGATTTGTACTTACTTTTCTTTTGGAATGCTGCATTCTCGAGTCTCTGAGAGTTTGCGCTTCGCCGGGTGGCCGCCCTCCCCACACAATGTGTGCTATTCTTGTATAGGTGCATACCAATGCACCTAATGGAAGTGCAAACTGAAGTGCAAGTAGTGCGCAAGTGTACTGTTCACTTTGCTTGACGTTTGACCATTGTTCGCTGCATATATCCCTAATGAAAACAAATAATATATCACAGTATATCTTACTGTCTAAATGTAATAAACGTACATACATGTAACATTTCATATCACAATTATTCTAATTAGATAGATGTATACATCGATAACGACAGAAAAAGTGTCGTTTAGATTTTTTTTAAGAAGTTCATTTCTTTGAAAACAGTAATAAATTATTAGAAACTACAGGTACTTACACTTGACAGGCTTCATGCCACGCAGAAGGTCTTAAAAGCTGCGACACAATCGGTATTGGGGCTGCGGTAGCCAAAGCACCAGTCCATACCGCCACAACTATCATTTTTGCTGCGGCTTTCCCTAATCTGGGTTTCAGCGGATGTATAATAGCTATATACCGGTCTATGGATATTGCAAGGAGTGTATAAGCACTCACTAACACTGAAACTGTCTGGGAATAGTTGACTATTTTACACATCACCTCGCCAAATGGCCAGTATCTCAACACTAACATTGGAACAAAAGAGAACGGAACACAGAATAGAGTCATAAAAATATCACCAACCGCTAGGTTCACTATAAAATAATTCGTCACTGTTTTCATCTGGGGAGTGGTGTGGACCACAAAACATACTAGTCCATTACCTAAGAGAGCTACAGCAAACACTGCACTGTACATAAAGTATACACATATTTGAAATAAAGTTGAGCCAACAAAGTCCTCTGACGATGTTTCGATGACGCATACCAGGCTGTGCTCCGGCCAGGAGTAGTTGTATATTGACTGGTTGACGATGTTCGTTGCATTCTGCAGGCATTCATACGAAGAGCATACGTGTGGTAAGGCGAGTTTCGATTCAAAAGTTTCAGTCTCACTGTGCATTCTTTATAAATGTGGTGTTACATAGTTCAAGCATCGGTGGAATTATGTCTTACGATGTACCTGCAACAAAATAGAAATATGCTTTTAAAGTTTAAGTTACAATTATCACTTCAAAGGGTAAATGTTACGTATTTGCGAAGAACACATATGTTACAGAAATTGGTCGAGAAAACAGGATAGCCGCGTTTCAATCGTCGTTTACAAAATGCTGCGATAAACTGTAACAGTATTTTTAATAAAAATGTTTAAAAAATCCAATTTGTCCCTGGCATTCTGACATGCGACTCGAATTCATGACCTTTCGGAATCCAGGCGACTGCGTTAACCGCTGAGATATCCAAGAGCTAACAGCATTGACGAATTTTTCGAGCAGGTGTTACTTTTTCGCTACTAAAGAGTGTATTTTCATCAATGTTCAGGCAATGTACCCAAACAGTCAGGAGAAATATTTTTACAAATATTTAAACTTTGATAAAGATGGAAATTTGTTTTAAATAATGTGAATGCAATATTTAGCAAATATAGGAATTGTAACAGTTTGTAAAATAAATATGCTCGACTATTTTTTCCCTTAAGGTGAAGTAAAAAGTAGAGTTATGATTATGACCGGTGTTATGTATGCTCATTTGTTCCCTATTTTTAAACTACCAAAGAATTAATATAATACAATCATATTTAGATAATTGCGATTTCGTTAATTGCATCTTGACATCCCTGGCTGCGTGATGTCGTATATAATTAAATATGGCGTCCTCTGGAGGTCATAAAGTAACAAAGATTTTTTCTTATTAATGTTTTGGTCATCGTAATTACCCAAATAATATTGAAACACGTTTACAAATTGTCAAATACTTTGATATCTCGTCGTGTCTGTCATGTAAATTATAATGATCAAATCACAAAATTCGCTATTCAGACTTCTTTAGCTTTACTTATGCTAAAAAAATCTACAGATTATCTACAAAATTTTTGTCAGAACTTGTTTTGATTCCATGATACGTAAATTATATTATTCGTTTTTAGATAGAAAACGAACAGCGCTCTGAAGAGAGATTTATTGAGCGATGTACGTAAAATACGGTTATATTGCCTTATCTTTTTTAGCAGCAAAGATTTTGTATAAGGATTTGGATTTAGGTTCTGCCAAGTCTCTACTTCAAAGTTGATTATATGCCAGGAGTTGTTTTCACTCTGGGAGATAAATAATAATAATAAGCCGTTTATTCTGAACATTTGGTTTTGGTTTACATAATTAGGTTGTTTATAATAAATTTCTGATTTCAGTGTGTTTCTATCTCTTGCAACTCTTCTCCAATTAGGTCTTGCGGTTAGTTTTAGCTTGTCTTCCCATCTTTTACCTTGTCTTCCTCTACTTCTTTTACCGTCTCTAGGATACCACTCAGTTACAATCCTACTCCACCTTTCCTGGGTACTTCTTAATATATGACCAGTCCTCCTCCACTTTAGTTGGTCAATTTTTGTCAGAATATCCATTACTCTTGTCTTTGTTCTTATAACCGAGTTTCTTATTTTATCTTGTTTCCTGATGCCTATTATTCTTCTTTCCATAGCCCTTTGACAGTGTACTAGCATTTCTCTGTAATGTTTTGTGAGTGACCAAATTTCGCATCCATATGTGAGATATCGCACTCTGGGTGATAGTGTTGTGTAACTCACACGTTTTTATTGAGGATGAGTGAGGACCTCGATTTACCTCATGAGGTACGCGTACCCTCATTTGAGGTGAGGTGAGAAAATGAGTATGTAGTGAAGCGTAAGGCAAATGAGGGAGGGACTCGATGGCTACTTTGCGCGCACTATTACTCGCCGGCCGAGCCGAGTGAAACCTTTGTAATTAATAATTGATCGAAGATTGAAAACTGTAATTATTACTTGATATTGTAAAAACATTTTCTTACGCAGAATGAATTACTTTTGGTTATTAATTTCTTTCTTCACTCAATAATTACTTTTTATAGTTATTATTAATTGCATTCAATCATTTTTTGATTTATTCACTTCGCCTCAATTTATTTTAACCGATTAATATTATTCATATATGACAACTCTAATAGGCAATAGTTGCGAGGAAATCAAAACTAAACTAAACTGAGTCGTTCTATACAACTTATAAAACCGACACACTTTCTCGATCAATCGTTAATATGTTGATAATGTATCAATCAACCTTTCATTCGAATCTACTCACTATTGTGTTGAGTGATGTGTGACAACTGTGTTTATATTCGAGGCTTCAGAAAATGAGGAGCAAAATGAGGTGGTTTAAAGCTGAAAAACGAGTACTTCCCTTATTTTATCGCTACGAGTAACTCAAACGAGATACTTCACGAGTGAGGGACTCATCACTATTGGGAGAGGATGCCGCCTCGGGGCTAGTAAAAGTTTCATAGGAAATATCTGGTAATGGAATCCCAAAAGCATATTTAAATTTAGTGGCGCACTCTTAGCGAATTTCAATGTTTTTAAAATATAGGAATGAAAAATATCTCGACTCGAGTTCAAGCACTTGTTAATTTTAGCTACTAAATATAATAATTAGAACAAATTTTAATCTATAATTTTAATAAATAAAGAATAAATAAAATATATATACATATACTGCAAAAAATGCGTTACAAATTCCAGACCTATTTTAAGACCTTGCGCGCGAACGTTATTTGACACAATAAAGGAATGTTAAAGAACAAAACTAATAACTAACATATTTTAGATTACATTCATGTGTCCAGTGAATAAATTGTAGACACACCACATATCTTAACCAAACAAAATTATAATAAGTCAAGGGGCAAGTGAAATCTTGCTGTAATCTTAACCTACTTTAATACTACGGGATAATTGTTATTGAGTGTATTAACTAATAAGTTTATTAAGAAAGTTAAACGAATAAAGTTTCTGGCTACAATAGGTTTTCTCGTAAACTAGAACGCAAAGGCACGATGTGTTTACATCCATTAAAAGTATGACACATGCGGTGAGGAAATATTGTTCTGTCAGACATGAATTTACGAACTCTCGTAATTTGGGCATGTGTTCTATTTGACTCGGCTACTATGGCAACATTCTTTTTCTACTACTTTGTCCCCACCATAAAAAACACATGTTTCTTATGTAAACTTTTGTTTTTTTTTTTTATTTAAAAAGAATCTAAAATATCGGTAACCAACTCAACTAGTTGCACTTGTTTTTCAAAGCACTATGAACATACATATAATATATTTATTTGTTAATATAAAGTACTATTTGGCCAGTTTGACTTTAAAAATAATTGTTTAGCAATAGATAATTATATGAAATAATACATAATTTGGTGTACGATTTTTACTAATAGGAAAAGTATTCTTTAAATTTAGCACGGGATGCATTTGGATAACTTATTTTCTGTGAAAGTACCGGTATTTATTCCTTAAAAATACTGAAAGAACTCGAAAATAATATTAAATATGAACTGAAAAACATAATAAATGACAAGACTATGTGGGGTAGATTCCTTTGTCTATAATTAATAACAAGACAAACAACACGTGCGTGGGCAGTATGGGAGACTACTAAATCATTATGGTATTAATTAGTGTTGCCATACTGTCAATAGTTTCAATATTACCTCGAATTTGTTGCCTTTGAAAATTAATATTGTTAGAGCTACCGATATTATACTTCAATACTATCACTAGTGTCAGTCAATATCATTACAATATTAATCAATAATCGACATTATTGACTCTCGTCATCGACAGCAACACTGGTTCCAATTTTGTTGTTCCACTCTCTTAAACAAGGTAAATTATTTTACTTAATTTTAATTTGGGTTTCTTAATTATTTTGAAATTGCATATAATCAAGAGAAAAATTATTGGATATACTTCTTTTACTGCAATATAACAAGTTTATGTTTTTTTATTTAACTTTTTTTGCAATTTTAAAAAAGTAGTTCGACGGGCATTGAAATTAAATTTAATCTAGTTTGTATAACATAATTCCTTATACTATAGACAATGTTGAGACATTGATTCTATTGATTGTTTTCCTCTTTTGAAGATAGGGTATCTATGTAAAGTCTACTTTTGAATGCCAACACTAATAAAGTAATGTTACACAAAATAATAATATCTAGTGGTGTGTGTATATAGCAATATAGTATTACGATATCTGTAGTAGCAATTACGTTATATTAAATACCTTCTATGTTTAATTGTCCGGTGTTATTATAACCATATATTATTATCAACGACCACAAACTACCAATTAATTCTAACATCAATATTTCAAGTTTTCTTCAGGCTTGAATATGTAACAATATTAAAATACAATAGGGATTTCCAATGATCAGAAAACCCTTATGTTACGCACTAAACTAAAAAGGAAAGGCGAGACTTTATAGTTTATTGTGAGTAATAAAAGAGCGTCATATGTACCGCAGATATACATAAACTTATGTACAAATATTAACTCTATCTTGAATGCTTAAAGGTTATAATCAAATGGAGTTTGAGACTGCAGCCCATAAACGTCAAATTATTGTTATGTAAAAAGCAATAATTGATTTGATCTGAATCCGTTCAGCGTTGAAACTGTTCAGCTTTATTAAATCAGTATTATTATCTCACCTCAATGAATTCTTTCTGTCGTGAGATTATACGATTTATTGTTATAGAAGAGTCGCTTTGGATGAAAGATGACTTGGAAATTATAGTCCAAATGGATTTCACCTGAGTGTAATAAGTTTCTACGATAACGGCAGTAAAAATTGTTTCGGTCGATATCATATGCAAACCTAACAGGAGCATAAATCTCGTCTAAGCCCTTCGAAATGAGGTCCTTGATAAGGGGCAGAAGAATTTGTGAAAAAATCTTGCTCCATCTTTTAAATATAAATCTGATTTCATTGTGCATAAAGTTATTTTATTTTATACTAGTTACACTAATGAGTAATAGTTTATTTATAAGTATTCCAATAACGTGATCAAAGGACACAGAGC